AACACTGATAGAGTATATCTAGAGAGAAGTGAGAGCTAGAGAGAGAAGTGCAATAATATGCTTCAATAGAATGAATTTGTAACCCTGATAACTACCTCCAGAGGAAGTATTTATAGGGAAAATACGGGCTGGGCTCCCAAGCCTTGGGCTTGGGAGGCCCATTTACAACTGGACCGCTATTGGGCTGAATACAAAGCCACTAATGGGCTGTACAAATGAGTAAGTGTAAAATCCGGTTCTGTGGGTCTCCCTTGGCCGACAAGGGCGTGGCCGACGAGGGCACGGCCGACGAGGGCACGGCCGACGAGGGCACCCGGGTTCCTTGGCTTCAGGACCATATTCTGAGTTGGTACCTTTCCGGCCGACGGGGGTCCCTTGGCCGACGAGGGCACCACTCAGTGTCTTGTGCTTTCTGTTCTTCTGAGTATGTGGGTCATGGGGCTCAGACCCATATACTCCATCAAGCACGTTAAAATGTCCCAGGTCAAGTCAGACCCGACCGGGTCAAGTAGGGGACCCGACCGGGTTTGACCAAAAATCAGATATTCTCTCATTCCAGTGATCTTTGGCACGTTCTGGTGTTCCGAGTCACATCTGACCCGACCGAGTCAAGTAGGGGACCCGACCGGGTCTAGCTATTTCCTCAGGTATTCGGTTCTCAACTCAGACCCGAGTGAGTTCAGGGTCTGATCCGGCCGGGTTTTGTGCTCCTCGACATTTTCATCTTCAGCTTTTTTCTCCTTTTCCTTGCTAAAAACACTACCACTATTCTATAACTACGCATGAAAGCTAAAAACAATTACAAACAACATAAAACAAATGTTTACAAACTAACTAAAGATGATAAAAAATATACACAAAGTCAATACAAAAACATACATTTATGCACTATAAACTAGTGCATATCATTAAGTTTGGTCTGGTTTAATTTGAGATTGAAAACAATCCAACTAAAAACGTCCTGATATACACTAAATAGGTTTAAAAGTGTCTCACGTGCAACCATAGAGAAGAGGGTGGTATAAGGCCGATTGCAATTGAGTGTGAAAACCGCGAATGAGAGGTTTTCACCCACAACACAACAACAACTCGGAGTAAATAATTTATATTGGGGTCTGACAGGTAGGGCTGCACAAGAATAACCCAAACCCGCATAACCCGTCCGACCCAACCATATCTGACCCTATTTAATCGGGTATTTGATTTTCAAAAATATCTATGGGTTAAATATGTTTGAACCCGCACCTAATGGGTAGGGTTGCGGAATTAAAACCTCAAACTCGATAGTAGCCGACCTGGCCGAAAGTTCATTTTACTATTATTATGTTACAATGTTTTCCTGGATAATTTCAATTTAAGACTAATGTGCTCTATCTAGGACTTTATGATATTAGAATTATAATTAAACATTTACCATTTTGACTATTTGATTATTATATATTTACGTTTCCTTCTAAATGAACTTCCTTTACGGAAGGATGTTTTGATACTATTACCTAATGTTTTTGCTTATAAAAGATACGAGTACTTGTATTTTTTTGTGTGTTTTGGAAACAAGTTGATCGAGTTTCAAATTGGTTACATTGATTTCCCACATGAAAGACGCAACCCGAAGTGATTTTTTTTCAAAACCCGACCCTACCCGACCCGTTCATGTATGGTTTACCAACTTATTTTAAGTACCACAGGTTGGTTAACAGTCAACCCGAACAAATTGGGTAGGCCCAAAAAATATAGCAAGCCCGACTCAACCCGCCCGATGTGCAGCTCTACTCACAGGGAATATGGAGAATCGAGGGGGCGACTTCTGTGGGGGCAATTGACCTTGGCCTGGAGGTGACACACGTAGTGGTGAAAGCAACTGGACCTTCATCCCTCTTATGCGGCTGAAAGCTGAGGAGGAAAGGAATGGTGGGCGTTGCTGCGTGGGCGTTCGCGGCTTGAAAAAAAAAAGGACGACACCCCATCCTTGAGGGCCCCCAACTCCGACCGGACGGTACATTGGGAGAATGTTAATTAGACTATAATCTCAATCTGACAGATAGAGAGTGAGGCTCTGTCCCCGGTACTTGCAGAGGCCCTATGCATATTTTAGCATATAGTAACCTCTCATCGCAGTTGCGGGGATACGAACCCGGGACCTAACCCTTGTGGCACTCCCTCGCTACCAGTTGAGCTACGCCCACCGGTGCGTTCGCGGCTTGACTTGCGGCCGTTGCGGGTGAAAAGGGCTTTCGTTTTCGTGTCTGCCTGGCTTTATTGTGACGTTGGGAAATCATAAAAAATTGGTAGCTAAATCGGACAACCACAATCATTCCAGACACACACAAAAAAATAGGTACATTCAATAGCTGAAAATTAGATCTAACGGTAAAATATGTTATACTACGTATTATTTTTTTGGTAATTTTATTAAAAAAAAGTGGACTGAGATTTCTATGTAAACACTACTCATACCTTCATTTCAATACACCTCAATCATCCTCCTCTACTTTACATTTGATTTTTAGCAATTTTTAATTTTTATTACTATTTAGGGAAAAGTGTCAAATAGTCATCTACTTTAGAGAAAAAGTCAATTGTGTCCATGTTCTAAAATTTCAATCAATTGAATCCACATTGTTTCAAATAATCGTCAAATCAGCGTTTTAGGCCGTGCCAAGCTGGTTACCCTGTTACCCGCTGATGTTGCTTCTTATGTGGAAGACAAATTAATATTAATAGTAAATTAAATTTTGTCCTCATCTGGCTTAACCTAATAGACATTTTCCCTGAATTTAAAAATAACTCGTCGTTGTCTTACATTAATCTCTTTTGAAAAGACGGACAAGTTATGAAACGATCTGAATCAAGAAGAAGCGTTGAGTAAAGAATATATTAAATCTTTTTAGGTAAGCAACAAATTTATAAATGTAAATAGATTATATTAAGAGATAATATTAAGTAAGTTTGATATCAATACTTCTTCGTCAACTATTTGAGTAAAAAATACTACGTATAAATTTATATTTCTTATATATTACATGTTAGATTATAGTACAACTCAGCAATCATATTGTTGAGCGTGTAGTTTTTCTACACATAGGTGAATGAGAGATTCAAGTGAAGTCACGGGACATGGAAACATGACTACATATGGATAGGACTGCATTGCATGCGTTTTGTATTATTGTCACTTTTCTTTAGAGTTAATTAGTACGAACAATTATTTTGTGACAAATTTATTAAATCAAAAAATTGCAAAAGTAAGAGACAAAATATTTATGTAGAACAATTATTTTGTGACAAATTTATTAAATCAAAAAATTGCAAAAGTAAGAGACAAAATATTTATGTACAAGTAAAGCTAGTGAACTTCCTAATGAACCTTAATTTTTTAAATTAATAATTTTTTAAATTAATTTTTTAAATTAATATTATGAAATATTAAATCAAGGAATTAAAGGCCAAGAGGAAGCTCACAAGAGTACCAACATAATTGCTAGTTGCCAATGCAAACAGATATCTTAGGAGTCCTTTTATAAAAAAACTCAATAGCTGTGTGGTTTACGGTGTGGGAACAGTCTAGAACCCGGGAAGAAAACTATAAGCGCCATCCTTTCCGCGGAACAGCTACAGCATCGAGATTCCGGCAGCTTGAAGAAGCTGGCCGGCGGCGGGCGGCTGAGGACACCGCAAATATTCGCAGCACTTCCAAATATCCGTGAGCCTCCCTGGGAGGAGGTGAGTAGTACCCTGATGGATCTTCTCCACCGGAATGAATATAGCGTGACAGTCTACTCTTTCTTGCTTCTAGAAGAATCCCGAAGATCTCTCCAACATCCATCCAGTTGATTCATTCAATGATCAAGTTCCTACCAAGTGAAAAGATCATGCCAATATGGCAAATGCCTCTACTGATCCCACTTCAAATGCTATGGAATTCTGTGATCTATAACAAGTTCCTGCAATGTTGCCATGGATACTCCTGCTCATGCTGTTATGAATCCTCCTACTGATGGTCAACCAATGATCTTAATCTTTTTAGGTAAACACTCTGTTTTTATGAATCCTCAGTTAAATAATCTCACATGCGGATCCTTGATAGTGTACTTCAGACCATATGATAAAAAGGGTTTTCTAAATTGGAGTTTGCACTCCATTTTTAAAAATCTTTGTTTTTGCACCCAAATCCCACGTGAAAAGACCAAAATGTCCTTAATCAGGAATATGTCGAAGGTCAACAAAATTATTAATCGAGGGACATTTTTGTCTTTTCATACGGGGTTAGAGAAAATTTTCGATCCAATCCATCCGCGCTCCATGGATATTTTCGATCTTCAATATAGTCAAGGTTGAAGACATGGAGGGGCCGGAGGGGGCCTTGACTCTTCCGAGAAAAAAAACTTAAGTATATTATGTATAAATACTTTGAATCTAGATAAAATATGTTGATATTTTAAATTTTGGCCCTTACAATGTAAAATTATCAAAGTTTGGCCTCTTTAATCATAAATTTCTGACTCCGTCACTCAATATAGTCGTAACTAAACTAAAGAATAAATCTTCTACATAAATTTTTATTTTTTGAGTATGGGGCCACCGCCCCTAGGGTACATCTTTAATTGGACTTATTTGATTAGTTAACTTATTTTTGATAGTGTAGAAAAAGTTTATACTACGTAAATTTTTCTTGGTCAATGATACAAATTCTGCATGATCGTCCGGAGTATTTGTGTATAGTTTATACTACGTAAATTTTATACTACGATGATAAAATTTTGAATTAGGAACATTTTGATATAGTTTTCATATTCAAGATAATTTTATATTAAAAAGTATCATTAGTAAAATTTGATTATTTTCCAAATTTGAGAGATCATTTTCCTAATGTGAAAAATGATTGTAGGTAGCAGAGTGGCACGTCCTACAGGGTCAATTGGGAGACAAAATGATGTCCCACTTTTTCCAATTCTCAAACGTGAAATACAGCCAAAATTCCTTCTTTTAAATCAAAAGCAATCAAAACAACAAACAAAAAGCACCAAAGAATTAAAATTCCTTATTCCTCACAACAGTACAAACAACACAGGAAAATAACCCCTTCCGCCATGGGAGGAGGAGCTCAAGCTCTGAGCCTTCTTGAAGGTGAGAATGAAAGCATAACAGCTCGCATTTCTGCAACAGCCGAATACGCAAACCTGCTGGGTCTGCCAGAAAACGACAAAAACAGCGTGGGACCCCCAAAGATTGTGTCGGTTCTTGGGTCAGTTCTTGAGAAGACGATGAAGAAGAACGAGAAGCAGAGGGGGTTCTCTGTTTCTGCTGACGTCACGGTTTTCAATGGCAGCCGGGCTCCTTCCATGAGTGTGGGTCAGTACGTGGACCGGATCTTCAGGTATTCCAACTGCAGCCCGGCCTGCTTCGTGGTTGCGTACATTTACTTGGACCGGTTCGTTTCTCGGACCGGAGCCTTGCTGACGTCACTTAACGTTCACCGCCTTCTGATTACTTCCATCGTGTTGGCCGCCAAGTTCCTCGACGACGGGTAAGTGTCTTTTTTTCTATCTCTTCAGTTTTGCAGTTTTTCTGATTTCGAAATTGCCAAAAAGTATTGCAAAATTTATATTTACGACTAAAATAGAGAAAATGGTACAAGAAAACACCGAAATATTCAAACTTCACGTATTTTGATTAACATGTTCGATTTTTTAAATCAATTTTTTTTACATATACTATCCTCTGTTCCATAAAAGTTGCAACAGTTTGACTTTCACATTTTCCAACGCGCAACTTTGATTGTAATTATATTTATTTACATATAGTAAACATTAAAAAAAGTTAATATATTGAAAATTTACATTAATAACAATTTATTAATATTTTATACTAGTACATAATATTTTTATTATATATACTCCCTCCGGTCCCAAAAGAAATTCACACTTACTATTCATTGATCAACTTAAATCACTCTTAATCTTTTACTTGATATATCAAATTTTTATCAAATTTAATTTTTTTTTATCAGACTTTGTAGCGGGTTTAATGTAGTTTATGAATATGTAAATTTTATTTACTAAAAAAAATCCAAACGTGAACAGAGATCGAGTTGCTTTATCGTCAGTCAAACATCGTAAACTATGAGTGAATATGATTTGGGACCGGAGGGAGTATATATTATTAGAAAATCGTAGTCAAAGTAAGGTGCGTCGATAGTGCAAAAATTCCAATGTTTCAACTTTTATGGAACGGAGTAAGTATAAAAGTTGATCATGAATTGAAATAAGGATTAACTAACGGGTTCATACTTTTTGACAATCAATTTTTACACCTCATACTTGGACTAAAGTTTTATGATAGAGTTTTGTGTTTCTATGTCACTCATGGTATACTACCTCTGTCCCAATGGACTTTGCACTCTTTGAATTATGTGAGAAATAAGAATAGTAAAAATTCTGTGGTTGAAATTTGTGTAGAGGAAAGAGAAATTAGCAGAATCACAAAATGGTTACTTTAATGAGAAAGTAACAAAGTTTTTTGGGACAACTAAAAGGGAAAATTTGGCAAAGTCCAATGGGACATACTCCCATTATGGAGTATATGATTGTATGTATCATTCAGTCGCATTAGAGATGTTGTGAGGGTAAAAGTTGTTAAAGTTATGACACAAATCCAAACATTATATGTAAGCACAAAATGTGAAAATCAATTTCCTAGATTATTTACACATGTTTAACGATGAAATCCACATGTTAAAGATTATTTCACTGGTCAACTGTTTTGTGATTCGATGGCACACTTATGTTTCTAAGGAAGATCACAAGTTTCATCTGATGCTAATGACTTTTATTAGAGAACTAATCCTATAATAGGTTACGAAACACGAAATTATTCATGTTACATTTATCATTAATGCTTCGTGTACACGGCATTTTACACGCCGGTCAAATAGTATGTGTAGAAACAATTTGATCGACGTTTTTTGAAAAAGGTCGTTTTTGGCACGGACAAAAAGATTGTTTGTGTCACAGACAATTTAAAATTGTTCGTGATACAGAAAATTTTAGATTTTTTTATTGCGAAAAACATTTTTCTTAGAAAACACCGTTCAAATTTTCGTGCACAGACAATGCCTCATACAAAAAGCATTAGTGTAGAGTCATAATTGTGTTAAAGTAGAGTGTTTTTAAAAGGCGTGGCGCACCGTACCGCACCTTTTCATTCCCGCAAATTTCGGTAGGAAAAGAAGCTCTGTCAAAGTCAATGAGAAAGGAAAGGAAATGAAAATGGTCCTTTAGAATTTGAAAAAGTTTCCAAATATCGGTAAAGGAAACAAAAAAGAAGTGAAAATCGAAACAGAAAAAAGTGTACTGGTTCTTTTTGTTTTTGGATTTTTTATGGTATTTCTTAATACAACAATTCTTGGTGTACACCTTCTTATACACATCATTACATCTCCATGTCTGTGAGAGTTTTTTTTGTCTGTGAATCCCTATGTCTGTGAGATTTTTTTTTGTCTGTAAATCCCAGTCCGCAGACAAAAACTTCCTTGTTTTGTCTGTGAAATTTTTTCACAGACAAAACAAGCAAGTTTTTATCTGCGTTGTGAGATTTACAGACAAAAAAAACTCTCACAGACACAATGATGTACTGATGTGTATAAGAAGGTGTACAAAAGGAATTTTTGTTCTTAATAAGCCAACCAACAGTCCAAGACCTTTTTTCCATAGGCATTTTGTTTCAAGGTGACAACTCCGGTACCTTTCTAAAAAATGGTATACTGTACCTATCATTCATTTGATTGGACCACATCACTTTATCATTTTTAATTTAGATTTAAATAATTCAATTGCTACATTTTCATTGGTCCATGTGAACAAAGTTACGATCCCCCATGGTTACCATAGAATCTACCTTGTTTCAAACCTCACAAACTAAGCTGCAATCTACGTTCTACGTCATTCTCTTTTTTCATATTTTTAGTCTACGTGCAAGATTTTTTTCCAGCTTTTCTTCTTCGTTTGTAATTTATCTTGATAATTTAGAGAAAGTTTTGCACTTTAGAGAATGAACTAAAATTATTTATTTAAACTAAACAATAAGATAAAAGTTTTCAAAAGTTATAACTCATTTATCTCAAATTGTTAAGTGTTATAACGACACCGAATTATAAGTGTTTATAAAATACGATAGTATTAGGTATGATATACTATAGGTAATTGTAACTATAACATGATTATTATAGATAGTACGTAGTAGTAAAAGGAGTACATATATAATTATGCCGGTATGCGTCTTTTTACATTCTAACAGCTGTTTTAAACAGCTCATTACCAAACAATTACTGACAATAAGTTAACATAACTAGCCAACCAAAATAGCTAACACAATCAGCCGTTGCCAAATCGTTATCATAACTAGCTAACAGCTATCCGCCGATTGCCAAACAAGGCCAATGTCTCCAAAGTAACTAAAATAATTCAAGTGAACATGTTCTAAATAGGAATTCTGTTTGCTTAACTAATTCCTTGTGATTCATTTTCATTTTCATTTACCCCAGTGCCGAAAAGGCTCTCACCTACGGTGGGGTAGAGGGGGTCGGATGTACGCAGTCTTACCCATGTACTAAAGTACAGAGAGACTGTTTCCGGATGACCCATATGTAAATAATTTGAGATAATTCCTTGTGATGAAATAATTAAATTTAATCCATCCTTTGACATAATTTGAGTGATCTACTCCATATGTAAATGTATGTACCATGTGTATTTTATATTCTGAAAAGCCTTTTGTACACATTATTACTGTTTACACACTTTTACACATTATATGTGAAAGACTCTTTTTGTCTGTCACAGACAAACAGGTTTTGCATATGATAGACAAAACATATTCTGTCTGTGACAGACAAATAAGTCTTCACAAGCATTGTGTACAAATCTTTCCATCATTTGCAATGGAGTCAAAGATTCATTATTTTTTGGCTTGAGATTATGATGGAATAAAGCAAAATGGCTCACTAAACTGTCTGCGCTTCTTTGTTATGAAGCAGTAGTCAGTCCATGCAATTGTGGACGTGATTTTCACTATGGGTCATCCGGAATCAGTCTCTCTGTGCTTTAGTACATGGATAAGACTGCGTACATCCGACCCTCCTTACCCCCCACCGTAGGTGGGAGCCTTTGTGGCACTGGGTTAAATGAAAATGATGAAGCATTGTGTAAAAATGCGTACATAGTAAAATGTTCACAACAAGAATGATTGTTTTATATTTATCAAAATCTGATTTGATCTAATATAGACTAAAAAGAATATACATCCCGGCCTTTTCACGAAGTCCATGTACGAGTGGGGCTAGCCAGGCCATGCACTCCCAAGTCAACCCAGCACCACCTATTGTCGCAACCAAATATGACTAGACTAGTGGATACATATTTGACATCATATCAAATTAACGATCTTCTATGTCACTTCTTGTGTAGCTGTTATAATAATGGATACTACGCAAAGGTTGGAGGGATCTCAAACTCAGAACTGAACAAGCTGGAGATGAAGTTTTTGACTGCTCTTCAGTTCAGGCTGCATGTCAGTGTTGACACCTTCATCAGCTACTGTGCGCTGCTCGAGAAACCGGAACGTCTGGTCAACCCGCCGCGGGTTAGAAATTCCGGTTTCAGGAAATATTTAGCTAAGATATTGATTGTGCAATGAGAATTGTAATTACATGTGCTGATGGACAATATTAACCCCATTTTGTATGAATGTAAAATGAATCTAACACAGATATCATTTTTCTTGTGGTTATAAATAGCATGTGCATCTACACCCCGTATAGGGGTGGACTGGTCACCCGTCCTCGATCCGGACCGGCCTGATGAGCTGAGGTCTTGGGACTGGTTGTGAGACTGGTTTTCCGGTTGTAGGGTAGACCGAACCTATACCCCCAGTTCGTATTACCCGGTCCCGAGTGCCAAAAAATGGGTCCGCTCCCGGTCTAGTCCATAAAAGCTACTTTTTTTTTCCTACTTTCCTATTGGCTAGTCACCCAACGGCTCTTTGGAGCCAACTTGCCCCTGCGGCTCTTTTGACCATTGGGACTAGGGGTGGTGGGGTGGGGTGGGGAAAAACTACATAAATACCTATCATTCTTTTTTCTTTTTTCATACATTTCAAATATCTAAATAATGTTTCATCTTCCTCTACAAATCTTACATTCTACATGCCTGCCCTCTTATATAAAGTGTTTATCATTGTTCTCTGATTATCTCATCTTTTTTTATGGAGGCAATGTTAACTCACTACGCTATCTATAAGAAGTTGGCAAATGACATGCTTTATTATATGTACAATGTATTTATTGTTGAAAGATTCGCATGTTGAAAACATGAAACCCACGATCATGGCATGTTATGGAAGCTTTCCATACATAGCATTCAATACTAATTTAAGAGCCCATTTGGTAACACGAAATTCGACTGATTCTGCTGAAATTTATGAAGTTCTGACTGAAATGGCTGGATTGGCTGATTCTGCTTATTTAAGACAAAATTATTTTTAAAATATATTTTGATAATAAAATAAAGAAAAAATTATATGTACAAATAGCTAAAATAGTCATTTACAGTAACTTCAACCAATACAGTCAGAAAAGTAACTTCAACCTTGCTTTTTTTATTATTACACAATTCAGCGCGCGAAAACAAAAGTGACGTGTTTGGTGAAATAGTTGACTGAGAAGCCTGATAAGCTGAAAAACAGCGTTACCAAACGGATTCTAAATCACGCCAATAATTAATAAGTGTTGTGTTTATGTGTTTATTATTAAAATAGTATGCACTGTTTTCATATTCAATAAGACTTTATCATACCATTGTAATATATGTACTAGTTCAATATGTCTTTCAATTTGTAAAATTGGAACAATAATTTTAAACGTCTTAATTATTGAAATGTTATGCACTCAAATAATCTTATGTTTTACATTCTTTACATTGTTGTTAATAAGTAATTTGAAAAAAAAAGAGGGGGTTCAGAACCAGATCTCATAGGGCCGATCTCGGGCTCCTTAAATTTTCTCCTAGGACTGGGCGTTCCTAGGATCGGGACCAAACCAGTCCAAGTCTGTGTCTAAGCCAGTGACTTTGAAGAATACTAAACCACGAATGTTATTATAATTTTCTTAATCTAAAATGTGTGTGTGTGTAAAAAGTGATGGGTCGGGATTAGGGATGGACCCGGGAAGGTCCGGTTCCGTGTCGGGCTCGGGTGGGCCTTTTTTTAGAAACATGGGCCCGGAACTGGCCCGGGGTGATACCGGGTCCGGTCCGGGTCGGGCCTAGCCGGTCGGGTAGTGGGCCGGTTCAGGCCGGGCCCGGGCTATTTAATTTAATTTTTTTTGTTTAAATATTAAATTAAGATTCCTTGGATATAAAAAAGTTAAAATATATTTATTTGAAATATGTAGTACAATTGAAAATTGAGCAAAAATTAAAACATGAAATACACTTTTTAATAAATAAGAATCAATCGGAATTTCCGCCATCTTCGGTTGTTTCTTCCATAAAGTGGCGGGTGGGTTCAGTGCTAATTTTTTGAGTTCTACGTTTGGTCTTCAACCAATCGTGGAAGCAAGCGTCTCAAGAGAGTTTGCGCTCAATCTCATTCTATAATCCGTTAGGACGTTGTCGGCCGCACTAAACTCTTGTTCCACATCAACTGTTGATACTGGCATTGCTAGCACTTGCTTAGCCATCTTTGATAAGATCCGGAACGTTCTCTCTTTTTCCTTCCACCACTGAAGAACGTCAAAGTCATCCCCTTCTTCATACTCAACAGGAAATGTTAGATACAAAGAAACTCGTTGATCGAGCTTTGTTCATTAACCGGAGTTGATTTACTTTTTTCATAAGATTGCCAAATGCAGATTTCAAAATTGAAGTACAATTAAACTAGTGAATTTGAAATACAAATCTACCGATTCGAAATACAATTAAATTCGAACTATGCAACTACAATGTACTCCCTCCCTTCCGAAAAGGTTGGCTAAATTTCCTTTTTTGGATGTCCCAAAAAGATTTGTCATTTTCATTTAAAGTAAGGAATATGTGGCTAAAATTAATTCTCTCTCCTCTGCACAAATTTCAACCACACAATTTTTACTTTATTAATCCACGTGAAAGTCAACTTTGGCCAACCTTTTTGGGACGGAGGAAGTAATAAACTTAACTACAATTAAATAATAATGCAATGTAAAAATTCGAACTATTTGTTTTAAAATGTAACAACTTTATTTAACAAGTTTAACAATTAACTAGTTTTATAGGAGAGTAATAAATGTAACAATTAACTAGTTTTATAGGAGAATAAGAAATGTAACAATTAACTAGTTTTATAGGAGAATAATAAATGTAACAATTAACTAGTATGATAGGAGATTAATAAATATAACAATCAATTAGTTTTATAGGAGAATAATAAATGTAACAATTAACTAGTTTTATAGGAGAATAATAAATGTAACAATTAACTATTTTTATAGGAGAATAATAAATGTAACAATTAATTACTATGATAGGAGATTAATAAATGTAACAATTAACTAGTTTAACAATTAATTTCGAATTAACTAGTTTAACAATTAAACAAACAATTATTGTCTAACAATTTTTAATGTAACTATTTCCAATAAACTAACAATTAACCACTTTTATAGCAATGAACTAATACTAAAATGATAAGTGAAACAATTAACTAGTTTTATATTAATAAAGAATGTATGAGTGTATAAGTAATTGGATAAGTAGATAATAAGTGTATAAGTAGATATACTTAATATAATATATATATATATATATATATATATATATATATATATATATGTGTGTGTGTGTGTGTGTGTGTGTGTGTGTGTGTGTGTGTGTGTGTGTAGATTAACTAGTAATATATATTATTATGTTTATAGTATATATAATATAAGTATATTACTATAAGATGAGTAATGCACTTATGTATAATACTTAATATATATAAGTATATACTCCGTATTAAGTATATGTAATATGTAAATATAAGTAAATAAATTAGAGATAATTATATATGTAATATGTAAATATAAGTAAATAAATATATGTAACAATAATATAATAATTAGATATTAATATAAGTAGATAATAAGTAGATAATAAATTTTATAAATATAATATATGTAGTTATAAATTTGAGAAGATGAAGATGGAGAAGATTAGTATAGAACAGAGATTAGAGAGTAGGAATATTTGGAGAAAAAGTGTAATAAATTGTATAGAAAAAATGGAGTATTTATAGATTTTTTGTAAATACTCCAGTTAAGCCGGGTCAGGCCAGGCCCGCGCATAACTTACCTGGCCGGACGGGCCCGCACAGTAGCAGGCTGGGCTGGGCCGGTTTGGTCCATCCCTAGTGGCCTAGTTGGGATATGATTCAAGTCTCATTTGTGAGCAAAGTCAACAAAAAGCAATCAAGGGTTGTTCTGAATTAGACATTTTTAGATGATGAATCTTTAAAATATGATTGAGATCAGGAGCTGCTTGCTAAGCTAAGTGATCCTAGCTATAAAACGGCTACTCAATTTGAGCTCAGACGATGCCCTCGTCTTCGAGCCAAAAATGAGATCGGAAGTAGATTTACCTTTGAAGTTTGCAGTTACTTCTTCAAAGGGATGATTTGTCATGATTGTTGCTTTGGATGGGTGATTTTAACTAGTATTTTTATTATTGCTGTAAGCCTTGGTGACTGGATTCTCTTCAACAGAAGGAGAGCTTCTTATCCAAATATCCAATTGGAGATCGTTTAATTTTCTGCTTTTCATTAGCGTGTTACTTCAATGGCAATTATGTTACTTCTTTACATTTCTTCCATCATTAGCATTCTTATTTTTGCTTAAAGAAATGTCAAAAATGATTTCCTTAACAACTACAAAATCACATATTTAATCAAACCTAATAAACATACTCCCTCCGTCCCATATTTATCTTCGTAGTTCGGTTTACGATGCTTGACTGACGAATAAAACAACTTGATCACTGTTCACACTCAGATTATTTTTAGTAAATTAAATTTACATATTCAGAAACTACATTAAATTCGCTACAAAGTCTGATCAAGAAAATTTAAGTTTAATAAAAATTTGATATATAAAGTAAAAGATTAAGAGTAATTTGAATTGACCGTGTGAATAGTAACTATGAAGATAAATTTGGGACGGAAGGAGTATTTAATTCCCGATATTATTGCTGTGGAAAAATTCAACTCTGGTACTCTTCTTTTTCTTTAAAAATAAATCTCAATCATTACAACTCTTGAATTTTCTCGTCAAACAAATATGTAAAGCTAATTCTGGGTTTGCTGGGTCCGTCCGCTCCAAGTATATTAAAGCTCCATCTCGTTCTGTTTCCAATAACTACGCACAACATTGATGTCCCAAATTGAAAAATTAAAGCTTAGAGTCATTTATGGTGATGTATCATGCTATAATCCAAAATATACCGTCTCATAAAGTGTTTTCTTAGGAAAGTCTGGCTTTCAGAAAGGAAAAATTAATGTACAGCTACAAGCCTACAAGTTCTCGAATTTGGCACATCAATATATTTGAACTCTCAAATAGGAAGTGTAGCCTGGTGGCAAAAGACAATCAAAGGGAAAAAAGAATATCGAATATTTGTAAGTAAAAATATCAAATGCAATTGGACAAGAGAGCGGTTCAAAGTTCAAACTTCAGCAAGGGAAAGCAGGGAGGGGACTGATCAAATGCCA